GGAGCTCAGATTCATTTAACCACTGTGTTACTAACAACAACTTCAGTGATTCACTTTAAAAAATGTTGTAAGAAAGGTTGTAAAATGTGGCAAAATTCACTTAACCAGTGTCTTCCTCAGCATTGGAAATTTTAGACTCAGTTGTGGCCATACGTCAAGGATTACCTGTACTCCTCTTTGTGAGTCCTACTTCTGGAGAACAGTCACTCTTCCATTTGCCTTAGGCTGCTTGTTTTAATTTCTCACAGGAACATAAACCACCATCCCCAGCTCCCTCTCTGCTCAGCTTTTATATCCACCGGTTTCTGGGCTGGCGAGAGAGAGGTCTTAAAGGGACAGGACACCAGCAGCCCAGGATGCTGACCATTTTGCAGCAGCTTGTTCTTTCACAAGCAAAATGAAAATAAATTGTGAGCAAGTTAATGGTGCTTGCTTCTTAAGAGTATTTGCACATTCACTTAATTATATACACATGCCCATTTATGCAGTACAATTAAAAGGTAAAACAATATTGCTTCAAAATAAATGTGGAAAATAAACTATTTTCAGATATTTTTTGTTTTATTTAATTATCTAATAGGAGTTATGATTGGAATCCCTCTTACAAGATACATTAATTAAATGTAATATTCATATATAATAGTCATAACATTCATCACCAGGTAGATACTGTCAAATGTTTGTCTATTTAACACATCCAGATTGAAATACTGAATTATAGATGGTATTATTTTCTGTACTGTAGCTTCCTGGCTATTACCGCAATTAATACTTTTGCACCCATAGTAACAGAAGAAAGCACAAAATCTACAGCTTGTGAGATTTTTCTGAGGCTTTAGCATAACTATAATATAAAGCTTTGTGAAATTAAAAAAAAAGAAAATGGAAAAATTAAATGATTCTAACAATATGGGTGCTAATAAGTCAGTAAAAGTTATGTGCCTATGGTGGAATAAAGGTCAGAATCACAGGATGGATTATTAGCATAGAGACAAAGAAGTTGGAATCTTTGGTATGCAGAATGAACAAAGACAGACTCCCTCTAGCTGTTCACAGCCTATATGTGGTAGTTATGCAGATAGATTCCTTAGTCTGGCAAGATTTCTAACTACAGATGAGCAACAATGAATAAAATTCTTGGAAGTAACTCCTTGTAACCTTCTTGGTTCTTTGGGCTTGACTAGTTTCATAGACGGCAATGTGTCATGTCAGTGACCTTTTTATGTGGTATCAGAAGATTAATAATTCAGTTACATGAGTCCTTCATTAACTGAATATAAAAATCCTAAAACCGAGATTCTGTCCATCATTGGCCTGAATTTCGTGTGTTTCAGATGACAACCCAATAACCTTTTTAGCTTTCATTTCAATATTTTCTGATTAATGTTTTTCAAAGTATTCAAACTATTCTGTGTTGAAGCTCCAATTTAGGTTTGCTGCTGTAAATGCTTGATATAATTCATTAGTGGTATTAATAATTGTGGATCTTTAACTACCTTCTGTAACTATATAAAATTACAGACTCTTGAGTTTCTCTTTTGCTGAGGCAAAAGCACTTATAGAATTCATAATGGTTATCTTAAATGCATCCCAGAGAGTTAATGTATTAGTAGAGCCCTGAGTTATTTCAAGGAAAGAATAGATTTCCTTCTTAATATATTTCACAAAAAGAAAATCTCTTTAGAGAGAAATATTAAAATATTTAATGCAGGGATGAAATTCAGCACGTTCTGACAGGTTCTGAAGAACTGGTAGCGGAAATTTTGAGTAGTTCTGAGAAACAACAAATACCCTCTGGCTGGCCCCAGAGTGAATGGAGATTTTGCACTATTCTCCCCCTGCCATGCCCAGCAAACCACGCCCACAGAACTGGTAGTAAAACAATTTGAATGTCACCACTGATTTAATGCCATCTAGAATTGGCTAATTTATAATTGTTAAACTGTGGTGGTGCAGTGGTTACAATGCAGTATTGCAGGCTAATTCTTCTGACTGCCAACTACCAGCACTTCAGCCGTTTGAATATCACCGGCTCAACGTTGACTTAGCCTTCCATTCTTCCAAGATCGGTAAAATAAGGACCAGATTTTTTGGGGGGTAAATCGCTTAGAGAGGGCTGTAAAGCACAGTGGAGCAATATATAATCTAAGTGCTATTACTGCTATTGCTATTATAGTTAGAGTCACCAGAGCATAGCCTAAGATTGTAAGTCTAATGAGAAGTCTATAACTTGATTTTCCAAAGCATAAGAAATAATAATCTAATCAGAGATAATTAATCAAATTAAGCAAAGTAAATTTGAGAAGCTGCCACAAAGAAGAGGGGGGTCAACTTATTTTCTAAAGCTTCAGAAGGCAAGACAAGAAACAATGGATGGAAACTAATCAAGGAGAGAAGCCACCTAGAACTAAGGAGAATTTTCCTAACTGTGAGAACAATTTAACTCACTGTTTCTTGTCCTGACTTCTCAAACAACTCATTCAACAACTCGAGCAATTCTGTTCAGTCTTATAGCACCTCAGACACTTGAAAACAATTACTGTATCATGTGTCTATACTTGTCTTTTCCTGGCTAAATTTACCCAGTGTCCCAACCATTTCACACCAGGATTGATTGTCCATCCATCCATCCAATCTCAATTTATTTGCTGCCCAATTCCAATTGATTCTGGGTTTGTACAAAACTGGAAAATATATAAAACATAAAACAATAAATCAGACAGTCCAGACTAAAATCATCTTATTAAAAACATAAATAAAATAAAACAGGTCCATAATACACAGACCTTCAGATTTTTAAATTATCCTCAAAGGTTGTTATTCTATCTGTGCAAATTAGATAATATATTTTTGTCTCAAATCATTTATAAATAATTGTACCGCATGGTATCTAGAAAAAGGAGAGGCACTTATCTTTCACTTTGGGTTTAGATTTAACAAGAACAGCAATAGCAATAGCAGTTAGACTTATATACCGCTTCATAGGGCTTTCAGCCCTCTCTAAGCGGTTTACAGAGTCAGCATATTGCCCCCANTTAAAGATTGGGATCCGTCCCCACCCGAATGATGAATGAATGTTGCTTCTATTTTTAATTGTGTATTGTCTGTATATGTCATTACGTGTATCCCCTCCCTATAGGTTGTAAGCCGCCCTGAGTCCCCTCAGGGAAAAGGGCGGCCTATAAATAAAAGCAATCTAATCTAATCTAATCTGTTCGAAGAAGCAGAAGAAATAGTAGTCATACACTCAGCTAGTGCAAGAAGATTGCACAAACTGATTATAAACCACATAAGTGTTGCCAAAATGATTCACTGATACAGCTATAAAAATTATCTGCTATTAATGAATAATTTGGAAGGCAGAGTTGAAAAACTTATAAAAAATGAGCAGATTAAAATACTATGGAACTTCTAAATACAAACTTATTAAATCTTGGTATATAACGCCAGATTTAATTGTTGAAAAGAAGGTGTGTAGTTGATGTAGCAATACCAGGGAATAGAAGACAAAGAATTGGAAAAGATCACAAAGTATCAAGATCACAAAGCATCTGAAAATCGAAGTTGAAGATCAATGACATAAATCAACTGCAATGATCCTAGTAGTTATTGATTTAGGTGCCATATCAAAAGAACTTGGGCCGCACTTAGAAAATTTGTACATTGACAAACTTTCCATCTGTCAATTACAAAAGGCCATGATATATTACAGCATCTTAACTTCTTGGGAAGAACTTCATGCATATAAAGGCTAACACTAGCTAAAGAATATGCACCTGTGATTTCATACTGTTGAATATAAAAATAATCTCACCCTGGCTAAAGCTATCTTATCTAAGTCATAAAAGTATAAATGACTAGTAGGGCGCAGCAATGAGTTAGGGTTTTCTCTATTGCATTGTGCCATCTACAGTAGCAGTTAACTGAATTCTTGCAATCCAGACATACCATCCCAAAGGTGCTTTTTTTCAGGAGGCAACAGGACTTTCTGGTTTTTCTTTGAAGATATTTCACTTCTCATCCAAGAAGCTTCTTCAGCTCTGAGCTGAATGAGAAGTGAAAGTCTTCCAAGAAAAACCAGAAAGTCCAGTCGCCTCCTGAAAAAAGCACCTTTGGGACAACCATGACTTGGATGACTGAGAATCTCTACAGACAATCCAGACATAAGTTAAATTGGTTAACCAATTTTAAAATGTGGCCGTGATTCATTGTGAGTTTTATGAGGTGGCTAACACAAATTAGTCATGGTTTCTGCCACAACTTTGGGCCTTGCCTACTGCCAAAGAGTACTATCGAGACAGGTCTTGCTTTGCACTGTTTTGCAGAGTTGTGATTAAGAAAAGTCCCTACAACCAAATAAAAAATGAGGTAGGCATTACTATTTAACGATTAGATACCAATCAGGTGTATCAACTGAATTTTTATCCCTTTATAATGAAATAGAGAATATGGAAAGCACCAAAATCTAAGCAGTTATTAACATTTTTGTAAGATAGCGGTGAAATTTTGGTGGCCCAAGTCCTATTATGGACTACAGATCCATTTGATTTTACTGCTTGTTTTGAAGTACCAAAAAGCACCTTCGGGGAATTATACCAGATTATCTTTTTTTTTAAAAAAAAACCACATTGCTCTTCTTTTCCCCTAAACTTTATAGTCTATAAAGTTCTATATCTATAGTTTAGATACTATGCTTACTTGAAAACACTGTTCCGTTACCCAAAGAAATCTAGAACACACACTTGCGTTCCAGTTAATTCCTTAAATTCTTCGTAGATTTTGATTCAAGAAACTAACACGGCTGCCCTTCTGGGTCGACCCTTTCTATCGCTTCAGCCCTGGGAGGGGACCCTGCCCTGGGAGGCTTCGATCGGAACCACGACTTGCCCCACTGACCGAAACAAGAACCATTGGCGGAAGGCCCAAACTTCAATCCACCCGGCCGTGACGTCATCCCTTTCCGAGCCTTTTCTGCTTGGTCTTCCGCCGCTCCCCCCCCCCGCCGCCCCCGCCGAGCAGGCGGAATCCATTCCGGGTCGGAAAAGGTACCGGAAGTGCCAGGTAACCCTCTTTTCCTCCGCCTTTCTCTACACCCCCTCCCCATAAAGAGGAGTGGAGCGCGGACCCCGTCCCCTTTCCCCTTTGGCGTTGGGCGCGTTCCCTCTCTGGGCGGAGCCGGGGCGGGGCCTGGTGTCAAGTTCCCCTCCCTGGTCGGTCGTAACCTTCGTCTTGGGTTGGATTCCCTCAGCGCCCGACTTACCGGTGTGTCCCCCCCCCCCACCTCCAATCCCAAGTCGCGTTTTATCGTGGTTGACTTTTTCTCGGCTCTGCATCGGGGCCTCGCCGTGCTCGCGCCTGGCTCTGCCCTTTCGAGGGGATCGACCGGTGCTTCGCCAAGCTTCCCCCTCCTTGCCCCCGCGATTAAAGGTGCTTGTGCTTCTGCCGTTCCAGCCCCGGTTGTCGGAACGGACCGTCTTGTCACCTCGGCCGAGGAGCTGTGGCTTAAAAGAAAAGCTTACCGACCCCTCGCTTTTCCTGCGCAAGCCGTCAGGAGCCAATTCACCCCAGGCGCAGCTTCCCCATTACTCAAATCTGCTTAGCCCCTTTACCTGTTGAAACTGCCTGTTAACACAGGAGGTAATTGGTTAGAAGGGGGGGAAAAAGGTAATTTTAAAAAAATCTTGCACATGTCACCATAGTATTCCCAAATGCCAATGAGATAGATTCTTTACTCCATAAAGGAGTCTCGGTTCCTGCTAGTTGAGATTTCATTCATTCTGTTACTTGAAGTAGAAATCTAGGTTTCAGAGAACATTAAAAATGTGGCTTAAAAAAAAGAACAGTATGGCAGAAAGTTTGAAGTTTAGTTACAGTATTTACCTATGTCTTACCTTAGTTATAACCATTTACCTATGCCTGACCCCTCTGATCTAAATATACTATATAAATAGGAGGATATGCTACAAAGCTGAATCAAGCAGGCCCACTGCAATAATTTCTAAGGGGCACATAAAAAAAGAACTGTAAAAGGTAAATTAATAGTTGGTAATAGTTATAATTAGATGAATTTTTAAATTACAATTATAAATATTATTTTACTATACAGAAAGAACTATATATAACAATGTTGTCTATTTCACTATTAGAATTTTTAAGGTCTTCCCAATTTTCCAAAACATTTGTTTATATAAAAATATTTTAAAATAATTCATTTGGAAATTATCTTAAATAATTAACAACAAAAAGTTTATTCTTAGGTCAGTAGGATAGGAAATTACAAAGTAACATGAAATAGGAAATTTCAAAAAAGATTCTTCAAACATCTTTGCTAAAATTGAGCCTAAAATATTTGTTTGACATGAATTAGCAATAAGGTTTTTCTCAAAGCAAGTGAACAGCAGGAGAGTAGCAATTGTACGTATGCTGTAATAATTTTGAGTTTAAAATAATGTACAATATTTAGTACTCAGGATGAGTAAATACAATTTCAGAATCAACTGCAACTTTTCTCTAAAAATTATTTATATGGTACAACAGTTTGTCGTACCTGTTGTCTTCATGTTCTGCTCAACTTGTCAGAGAAATCTAGCTAGCATTTGTATGGCAAGAGTTAGTTGGACTAGATCCAATGAAAAGTTTTAATTCCTAACCAGTTCATGAATACTGATGGCTCATGTATTGATAGATTTTAAAAGTACCATATTCTCTCCAATTAGTATGCATTTATTTTTTTAGAAAACATATACAATATATATACAAACATACACAGATACACATTTATATATACACTCAGCTATATAGTAGTTTTGGTTTTAGATTAAAAATCAATACAGAATTAGTAAGTGCTATATGAAGTTGTATATGCTGAATATCTAAGGTAGATATTTCTTATTATGTACACATATGTAAAATATTCTAAAACAGTTAAGGCTGGAATTCAGGGCATGCTTACTTGGGAAGTTGACCAACTGAAATTCAGAAACATGCTTAGTGTATTCGATATTCAGTACACTGTAAGTATTTTGATATTACTAGAAAGAGTACAGATGTATAATTTATCAGTAAATAAGTTATTTGTTCATATTATACATAGTGTATGTGTTTCCCTCTTATGAAATGAAAAATAAAAAATGTTACTGCTTCTTTTATGTACACTCAGGTTAGTGGACTCCAAAACCCTGAGGGCCAACACAAGCACATCTGGCCTTGAGACAACATATCCACAAGTACTCAAAGGCTAGTACTCACTGTTTACTGTATTGCTCTTCCCCAATTCTACCACAGTTCCTGTTCCTCTACTACAGACAGTCTTCAACTCACAGCCATATATTTAATAGCAATAGCACTTAGACTTATATATTGTTTCACAGTGCTTTACAGCCCTCTCTAAGCGGTTTATAGAGTCAGCATATTACCCCCAACAATCTCATTTTACCAATCTCGGAAGGATGGAAGGCTGAGTCAGCTTTGAGCCTGGTGAGATTCACAAACTGATGGCAGCTGGCAAGCAGCAGAAGTAGCC